TACATGCCTTACAATAGATGATGTTTACATGAGAATATAATTTCCTAGCTAAAAATGCTAGTTGTGACAGGCATATGTGATGAATTTTTGGCACATGTAACACATTTTAATATTGAATTTTCTTGGCTTGAATTGACAACTAATGTGGCACTACTTGTATTTCCAGGATGGTAATGGAGTATTCTTTAGGATCAAAAGGATCCAATTTTGTCAAATTCATTAGAAGAAACTGCAACAAGATTCATAGGTATTGTACTTTGTATAAAAACTAGATAAAAGAGATTTTTAGATGCACATACATGGGAGATATTACAAAACAAAACCAATTTAACTTTAGTTTAGTTTGATGTTATTTAATTTATAACTTTTAAAGAAAAATATTATTATAATTGTTTTTTTATTAAAACTAAAATGCTATTAATTGGTATTGTATAAGCATGTCATTATTGGTGTTAAAAACAGATGAATGCTTGATGGAAACATATTTGCTATATAAGGGTAATATGGTTGTTTTTTATCATTCACTACATTTAGTCAGAGATATGATTAAACAACATGGTTTCAGTCAGATGTGTACTTAGTCAACACTAAGGGGCTGTTTGACGGTTGCTGATTGAGTCAGAGCCTGACTGGGTCAGAAGCTCTGACTGCATCTACCTCTGACAGTCTGATTGAATCTATATTGTTTGATTATGTCTTTGACTGACTGTGCTGAATGATGAAATGACCATTTTACCATTCTATTCTATTTTTTGTCGGATACAATGTATTTGTTTGCATACAAAGTTAACTGCACGTATATTATTCAATAATAAAATGATATTCAATGAATATATGTAGAATCTAACATAGAAAAGTATGTTGTCATTTATGAAAGTAGGCTGTCATTTTTTATAAGAATACCTAACACCTATGTCTCTGTTACTGGCCTTTGCCTTTGATCAAGCAACATATATTGAATGAAACTCCTAACTGTGGTGATTAAGGATCTGGCTGTATCATCTTGGTCCATTGAAAACCTATAGCTTCAAGCCATGATTATATATTAAGTACCAAAATTGACATTAATTTCTCTTAGATTTTGAGATAAATTGACAAACACATATAATCCAAGTCAAATAAAAGATCAAAATCAGTTTGACCTCGACATTACCAAATGAGTATTGGTTTGTATGACCTTAAATCTACTAATTTCTTTATGTTCAAATACATTGAACTAATGAAAGGACAACTGTTAGTGTTCCTCACGTTAAAAATAAGGAATAATTTATGTAATCCAAACTATATGATTGAAAGTAGTTTATTCTACCAAATTTCAGTTACTCGACACTAATTAATAGATTAATGGTGCAATCAATAGTATACATACGACTTAAGTTTTGTGATTCCCTAAAAGATGAAACAAGCAACACCCAAGAAATTAACAGATTTATCATCATATTAAACAAGTGTGATTTCCAATTTTTACCAAGATGGAGAAATAACAAAGAAAATACCTGAATGGTCGGTGCTAGCTTAGGAGAGGTGGAGATCAGCTGCTTGCTGTGGCTCTGCCTGAGGAAGATGATTGTGCAGTGACGACGTCGGCGGAGGAAAATTGAAGGAATTCGTGGAGGACGCTGACGATGCTCCAAGTTGAACTAGTAGTGGGAGAAGTTGTTGCATCCAGAGTTGAGAAGGATAGGAAGGGTTGTCGACGTGAGAAGGAGAAAAAGGGCAACAAAGGTATTTGTCTCAATCAACTTTATTTTCTTCAAGGACCGAATCAATGGTTTTTCACTTACCGAATCAGATATATGGACCGATTCAGGCGATTTTTAGGTTTACCAAACAGGATGACCGAATAGAATCAACCAAAATTGCTAACCGGACTAGTCAACCTAATATCAACCAGACTAGTCAACCTAATATCAAACAAGCTCTAACTCAATCAACAACTATCAAACAATTTTTGCTATATTTTATTTTGTATTAGTTAATGACTATTTTATTTGATAGTATAGACAACCTATGCTATAACTTACTTCGAACCAATTCAACCAACTTGTAAGATACCCAACAACAAAATTAAGAAATGTCATTTTTCCTAACATTATCTACTCCAGAGTCGTACAACATCCATGCCATCTTTTGCAAATCCTTTGCAAAGTTATACCGAAAACCACTTGGGTTTAGTCCTTCAAATGTTGAAAGGCCTTCAAACAAGCCACCATGGCAAAATTAATATAAAATATGTTTTCCCTTTTAACTTGTTATGATATTTAGTTAATTATATATATATATATA